TACTCTAACATTTCCCCTTTATTCATTATGAGATCTAACTTTTTTAAGCTCTCTCTCTCTCTCTCTCTCTCTCTCTCTCTCTCTCTCTCTCTCTCTCTCCTAGACTACTTGCTTCTTAAACAATTTTATTTACTTAACAATTACATTTTTTTGAAAATAATAAATAACCAATCACAAAATACATGTCTCAAACTCATGATTTTAGAAAAAACTAGATAAGCATCTCTTAAATAGTTTGTTAAAGCATTTAGCCTCTTTTGAAGCTATATTCTCGTAATTCAATCATCCTGACAATCCAAAAAAATTTAAGAATATTAGTCTCCCTCCACCCAAAAAAAAAAAAGACTAAAGAATATCAATCCCTCCACTCGAAACCCAAGTTGTCTGCCGCTGACCCCCCTCCATTCCTCCTCTAATGTCCTCCTCAGACATATTATCTCCCTAGGATTTTCCCCTCCTTGGCCATAACCTCAATCACGCTCCCTTGATTCCTCTTTCCCCTTCCCCCAATCAATGCCTCTAAAGGAACCTTCTCCTATCTCACAACCCTTCACAAAAAATTTCCCTTGATCCTTCATGTCGTTGTCGGACAAAGTCATTCACTTCTTCGATGCTGAAGTTTCTAAGGGAGCTATAGAATGGGGTCTCTCACTGGTCCATTACTCTGTTACACGCCATCCTTTCTACGAGGATCTTCTAACTGCCATAAATCACTTATGATCACTTCAAGGTACCATACACTTGCTCTCCCTCTCAGGTAATTTCTTTTTGTTGAAATTCTCTGCCCCTGAAGACTACAACATTGATTGGTCCCATAGTTCTTCCTTGGTAAGCCATTTTTTTCTAAAAAAATGATTACCCCACTTCAACCCTATGTGAGATGAGTTTTTATCCATCCTTTTGTGGATTAAGATTGAGGTTCTCCCCTTGTCCTGGTGGAACTGAGTGTATCCGCAAAATTTCTAGTTTCATCAGTTGTCCATTAACCGTTTACAAGCTCATGTTGGATAAAATTAGGATCACTTTCTCCCGTGTCTATGTTCAAGAAAAAAATGTTTCCCCCTTATATGATGAAGTTAAAATCTTTGTGGCCAAGAAACACTAATTTTTGTAACTGATATATGATTGGAAGCCGTCAGCTTGTGAAGGTTGTGGCTCATATGTCCACACCTCAAACTTTTGCCCTAAAAAAATCTCCCAATACTCCCCTTAGAGATGTAAACAATCATATAGAAGCACTAGAGAAGGCCTAAGTGGAGAGGCCCCTCTACTGCTGCCAAAAAACCCCTCAAATAACCTCCTTCCCACCATACTAACCCTTCACCTCTAGCTCAGACATCCCTCACCCCAACCCTCCTGTTAGGAAGCAAGACCCTTGCCAATAAGCCAACTCCTATGTAATATTTTGTCTTATGAATTTAAGGTAATTTTATATTAATGATAATTAATTTTAAGTTAATTAATAATTATGAGTTTTAGAATGTCAAATGTAGAAGAAAAGTAACCAAGGTTCAAGGTATAATAAATAACAATCTAAAAACTAAAAAAAAATCCATGTTAGCGCCACAGAGCCAGGGCGCACTCGGGGCCGCATCATTAAGCTCTTGTATTTTTTTATAGATTAATATGTTTGGGCGTGTGCTGCGGTGTCGCAGATGTACCACCATGATGCCGGGAATGGGTTGCCTTGGCATCAAGTCTCATGTCAGAATATTCTAGGATAACTTAGAAGATTATCTTGAGGTGCTGCGACGTTGGGTGGATGATCGCTGCGATACTAGGTTCAGTTAGTAGATTTTAAATATTCAAAATATATAAAATCATTTTGCCAAATCATTTCCACCCGAGCCTTATTGGAGAAGAAGAGAAAAGAAGGATGAGGAGAAAGGGAAAGAGAAAGTGGAGAGAGAGGATTCAGAGTCAGAAACTCAGGATTTGTTTGTAGGACCGGTTCAGGATATTGTATAGCAGGTAGACTTCTAAATCCATATCTCTAATTTTAATTTTATTAAGTTAATAAAATGAAGTAAACAAAAATATATTTTTCTTAGATTTTACAAGTTTTCATCGATTGCTTTATTTTTTTGGTGCAATGCTGCGATTGTTTTTTCCCTCGCTGACCCCCCTCCATTCCTCCTCCAGTTTAGCCTCCTTTTTTTCCTCCTCCTTTAACTCTAATGTCCTTCTCAGACATATTATCTCCCTAGAATTTTCCCCTCCTTGGCCATAACCTCAATCATGCTCCCTTGATTCCTCCTTCCCCTTCCCCCAATCAATGCCTATAAAGGAACCTCCTCCTGTCTCACAACCCTTTCACAAAAAAAATTCCCCTGATCCTTGAATGTCGTTGTCGGACAAAGTCATTCACTTCTTCGATGCTGAAGTTTCTAAGGGAGCTCTAGAATGGGGTCTCTCATTGGTCCATTACTCTGTTACACGCCATCCTTTCTACAAGGCTCTTCTAACTGCCAAAAATCACTTATGATCACTTAAAGGTACCATACACTTTGTCTCCCTCTTAGGTGATTTCTTTTTGTTGAAATTCTTTGCCCATGAAGACTACAACATTGATTGGTCCCATAGTTCTTCCTTAGTAAGCCATTTTTTCTAAAAAGATGATTTCCCCACTTCAACCCTATGTGAGATGAGTTTTTATCCATCCCTTTGTGGATTAAGATTGAGGATCTCTTCTTGTCCTAGTGGAATTGAAAGTATCCGCAAAATTTCTAATTGCATCAGTTGTCCATTAACTATTTACAAGCTCATATTGGATAAAACTATGCTCACTTTCTCCCGTGTCTATGTTCAAGAAAAAAATGTTTCCCCCTTATATGATGAAGTTAAAATATTTGTGGCCAAGAAACACTAATTTTTGTAACTGATATATGATTAGAAGCCCTCAGCTTGTAAAGATTGTGGCTCATATGTCCACACCTCAAACTTTTGCTCTAAAAATCTCCCAATACTCTCCCTAGAGATGTAAACCATCATGTAGAAGCACTAGAGAAGGCCTAAGTGGAGAGGCCCCTCTACTGCCGCCAAAAAGCCCATCAAATAGCCTCCATCCCACCATACTAACCCTTCAACTCTAGCTCAGACATCCCTCACCCCCAACCCTCCTGTTAGGAAGCAAGACCCTTGCCAATAAGCCAACTCCAATGTAATATTTTGTCTTATGAAATCCAGGTAATTTTATATTAATGATAATTAATTTTAAGTTAATTAATAATTATGAGTTTTAGAATGTCAAATATGTAGAGGAAAAGTAACCAAGGTTCAAGGTCTAACAAATAAAAATCTAAAAACTTAAAAAAAAAAATCCATGCTGGCGCCACAGAGACAGGGCGCACTTGTGCCGCATCATTAAGCTCCTGTATTTTTTTTATAGATTAATATGTTTGGGCGTGTGCAGCGGTGCCGCAAATGTACAACCATGGTGCCGGGAATGCGTTGCATTGGCATCAAGTCTCATGTCAGAATATTTTAGGATAACTTAGAAGATTATCTTGAGGTGCTGCGACGTTGGGTAGATGATCGCTGCGACACTAGGTTCAATTAGTAGATCTTAAATATTCAAAATATATAAAATCATTTTGCCAAATCATTTCCACCCGAGCCTTATTGGAGAAGAAGAGAAAAGAAGGACAAGGAGAAAGGGAAAGATAAATTGGAGAGAGAGGATTCAGAGGCAGAAACTCAGGATTTGTCTGTAGGACTGGTTCAGGATATTATAGAGCAGTTAGACTTCTAAATCCATATCTCTAATTTTAATTTTAGTAAGTTAATAAAATGAAGTAAACAAAAATATATTTTTCTTAGATTTTACAAGTTTTCATCGATTGCTTTATTTTTTTGGTGCAATGCTGCGATTGTTTTTTCCCACCTACTTCTTATTGGTTATGTGCACATGTTGTGTTTTGAGGAGCTTTGGTGTCATCAGCTTTGGAACAATTTATGATTCATGGACAATAATGAATTCTCCTACTTCTAGGGCTTCTCTCCCTTGAATGATCGCTCTAGCATTTTTTTATGGCCATTTTGGCAACCAAGGGGAATTTTGCTCCTATGATTACCACATGATTGTTGATTGTATTTTTTGCACATTCAGAGGCCTTTTGTGTTTAGATTTCATTTTTGTTTCTTTTTAGGCATTACACTGTTTGTTGCAGCTCATTATAATTCATTTTCCTCTTAATTTGTAATGTGATATTTTACTCTTTGTAATTATTTACTTTGTGATTGAATTGAGCTTTGCTCCTCATTTTCAAAAAAAGAAAAAGAAAAAGAGATTTTAGAAAAATAACCTCCTCCACTTTTATCACTTGTAATAGTTGTTTGGTTGGTTGAAAAATGAATACAATGTAAAAGAAATGCATTGTATTTGAAATATTTTTGAATTTGTTTGAATGAATGTAAAATAAATACATAAATTTTTAATTTTGTTTGGTTTGAAATAAAATTAATGCAATGTAAAATCTAAAAATAAGGTGGTCGATAGTGGTAACAGGTGGTGGTAGCAACCAACAACGTCGCTGGGATAGTGGCTATCGTCGGTTGTCGACTGTGGTGTCATTGGAGGTCAGTGGCGAGTCAAGCGGGGCGATGGTAGGTGGTGATGGTGGTGGCTGTAGGCGATAGTGGTGGAGGGTGGCGGTGGTTGATAGCCAACAGTGGTGGCAATCTGTAGTGGCTGACGATGGTGGCAATCATCGACGGATGGCAGTGGCTACAACCGAAGATGATGATAGTCAATAAAGTTACAGTGTATTTGAAAATCTCTAAAATTAGAGGAATTTCAAATACAAAAAAATGAAATTGAATTCCAAATATACTAAAATTTTGCACTACATTTTATTTACTTCAAATCAAACACTTATTTTCTCCAAATTTTTATATGTAGATTACTTTAGATACTTTCACTTCAAATCAAATGTCCTCTCCCCAAAGCCACAAACTATTTCATCCACTATAAGCAAAAGTTAGTTCTTCCCAATCAGCAAGCACTGTTTGCCTCGTCAGCCGACGACTTCACAGCGTCTCGAATAAAATTTTGGTGGATAAAAAGGAGCGTCTTTCCGCTTTGCTTCCGCATTTCTTTGCATCTCCTCGTAATTCCGATTAAGCTAGGTTTTTCTCTTGCTCAACTCTCTACCATCTCCTTTAAGGCCATGGTTCCTACAGCCCGGTGAAGGAAACGTACGATCACCTTTAGCCGTCGGATCTAGTTGCCCAATTTATCCTCCACATCGACCACTGCTCCTAGGTGAGATCCCTCTCAGCGTTTCGGATTCCTTGATCATGTAATGGTTTCCCTGATCCGATATTTTTTTCACAAATCACCGTAAAGGGGAGGAGCCCTAATTTAGAAAATTGTTTTTGGTGGATCGAGTTCTAGATTTGACTTGTTGATTCTTTGCTTATGTTTAGGTTTAGAATCGTTTTAAAAATGGGGGCACTGGTATCGAGATTCTGGTTCATGCTGTTTCCGGCTAAGGAGTACAAAATCGTCGTTGTAGGGTTGGATAATGCTGGAAAGACAACGACGCTCTACAAATTGCATTTGGGGGAGGTCGTCACCACGAACCCTACGGTTGGTAGTAATGTGGAAGAGGTTGTTTACAAGAACATACGGTTTGAGGTTTGTATCTGATCGATTTTCTATTCCATCTTCTATATATTTGCTTCTGTATTTAATTGTTTTGCCAGTTAGCAAAACATTCATGGAATGATTATGGGTTCGAGATTTAGTCATAGGCTCTCTTTGCTTGCATAGTTCAAGTGATTGCGAATTAGTTTAGTGAATATAATATTTTGACTTAGGAACTCTCCGTTACTTGAATTGTTTAATTTTTTGCTTGGTACGACTTTTTATAGCCACTGAAATTTAAACTGCTGCTCAATGGAGATTATGCTTCATTGTTCCCTTGGATTGTTAGATATTTTTTTGTGATGGAGTTTATGAGATGACAGTACTTATGGGATGCTTGGTTGCTATTATGGTTACATGAACATGGATTTATGTAATCTTTCTGATACTCAAATTCTCATATATCTTTGGCTCTAATCCTGAGAAACCTTTTGGAAAGATGTTTAGATTAGTAGTTATAGTGTCATTAATCATGCACTTAGGCTAGAATAAAACAATTATACAACTATTGAACAAAAACAGTCTTGAGCAAGGAAGTTACAAAAGGATTAATCCAACACTGTTTAGGGGATTAAATAGTTAGTTTGCTGCTAATTATTGGATAATGATTATTTGTAACTAAGACTGGCATTTCTTTTGAATTCCTGATGAAACTTTTCTTAGTTTAGAATCATTGCTGAACTATCTTTTTTTTTATTCTTAAAACATTAAATGCTGATCATAAATACTGGAAATTTAGATTTTGAAACCTTTTTGCTAACCCATCCTCTTTCTCTCCTTCCCACTATTTGGGATCTTGGATGCGCCATCATTTCTTCATATGCAAATCATATTACATAATGTAAACATCTTAATGCCATATCTTTGGTGAGAGTAAGCATTATAAAATATAATTTTCATGGAAGGCACTCTCACCCGATAGGGTTTAATCTTGTACGAAATAGTTTAATTAGATATTCTAATTATGTAGAAGTGGTTGTCTTTCACTTAGATGTTTAAGCTTATTTGTTGAAAATGATACTAACTACTTAAGCTTGTTAGTAGGTTGGGTTCATATGAATTTGATCTTATCCAAGATGGATCAAGATTTTGTTGTAAATGTGTCAACATATAGATTGCATTTTTGCTAACTCGTATTCAAGAGAGGATTCCTTTTAAGTTTTTATGCCACACTTTTGGGTGACCATAAAACCCATGGTTTTTTGCGACAGGGGTCTATGTGCTAATCCATATGCTATTTAGGGATTGTTGACATCAACAAAAGGTATGAATAATGGTAAAGTAGCGTTGATGGCGGTTACAATTTGGTGGAGTAACAGTCTAGTGGTAGCAATAGCAACATGGGTGGTCACTTTGCAACTTGTGGGCAACAAGTACAAAACAAATGTGAAGCCACAACAGCATTGAAAAATGAAAAATGATGTGAGTGAAGTTGGTGGGCAATGATGAAGAGAAAAAAGTAATATGATTGAATGCTTCAAATGATTGCATTAGTGTCAATGGTTACAAGACAACAAAAGAATTATTAAATTAGGGGAAGAAGGTCCACAACCTTGAAATGAAAACAATTATATTATTTTTAAATTGGGTCTTGAAACACATGTCATTCCATTTTTTAGGTTAGATTTTGAATATGGTAATTGGCTTACCGAATGTGGCAGTTGATTTCATGTTTGAATGGAGTTTGTCAAAACCCATCTTGTCAACAAGCCCAATTCATCTCCTAGTTCTTACTTCATAAGAAATCATATTATCTTAAAATTTCAAGTAGGCTTTTGTAATTGAGGAATGTGCTGCTTTTGTTGTCTAAGGTTCTCTCACTTATTAATGAGCAAAGTTGAGTGTCAAGCACTCCATTTTGTTTTGAGCTATATTTCTTATGTATGATGCTTGATTGATGATATTGGTTTTCAATTTGAAAGGGAGTGAGAGTTCATATGGAAAATTTTGAAGTTTAGAGGAAAATAGCGAGGACATGTTGGTTTGCATTTATATGCTAGTGATTGGCCTTCACCCTTGATCTTATAACTCTTGGGTCATGTTTTTGTGTTGGCCCAAGGTGTTTTTACCGGTGATCTGCCACCATAAGAATATTAAAACCACTTTAATGCATGTATTTATAGTTTTATATCTATGATTTTCTAAGCATTCATATTGTTTGATTTGATTCCATAGACACAAACGACTTTAGGTTTCTTATGAATAAGCAACTGTTGCTTTGAAAGTTATGGTATTTGTATTTCGCTTGCCTATCCAGAGTTCGCACGTAATTTAGTTTTTTATTTGGTTTGATATTTTAATTCCTTTTTATTTCCTATTAATTCATTCCCCTAATAAATATTTTACTATAATATAGCTTAATTTTAGAATAAATCATCATTTAATTTTTTTCTTTAGTTGCTTTATAATTGGCTTGACAATGATCCATCCAACATGAAAGTTGAATTGATGGTCAGTTCCACAACTGGATAAATATCTTGAAATGTATTAAAAATTATTCTTCCACCAAAGTTCTTTGAAGACATGACTATCTTTATCTGTAGCAGTATATTTTGAAATTAATATTTATTTTTTTGCAGGATTCTTGATCGAGGTTATAGTTAAGTGGCAAAATGAGTTTTGTTTTTGTAATAATTGTAAATACGGATGTGCATTAGTTATGTGAGATAAACCTTTGTGTTTGAAAGGATCTCAAGGTTGCAGACCACTTATGCATGGTGGCATATAATGCATTTTGGATGGGAGGGTCATTTTCTCTAATAGTGCAAACATACTATTTTTTTTCGACTGCTTCTGAAAGATTAGCCATTTCCCCTTGTAGAGACTACATATGTCCCATCCTAAAAGATGTCGTGCCTTAATTTGGTTGAGCTTACTATGTTTTTTTTCCTATTTCTGTAGTCTAATGCGTGAAGTGTAGGTGCTAAACCATGCGATGGGTAAGTATCTGAAGCTTGTTTTTAATATCATCACTTTAACCTTATCTAAATATCTGGAGGTCGTTTGCTATATGTGCTGTTAAATCTATTTAGTAGCATTGGAGTATGCAAAACAAAGCCTTTTGTCTCTTTTATTTGAAATTTGAATAGGGGGAAGACTGATGTACCTTCAAAAATTGTCATCTCCGTTTTAAATTAACAAAATTCTGAATCGTATTTTTGAATTTATGGGAAATTGGGGAGTTTGTGGTATAGAAGTATGAAAAAATTAGAACAATCACTTGATACTGATTCATTTTTAATGAATAAAAAAAAGCATCTACAGTTTAAATGGTCTATATTGTTTAATCTGTTTTAATAATGAAGGTGTCCAAAGCAATATAAAAGCATAAATCTAGTTCAGAGACTATATGATCTTGAATCATGATCCATAGGTTGGTGAAGCTTATTTATTTATTTGTTTACTGATGAAAAAGCTGGGTAAACCTTCCAAAGATGATTATAAAGGAAACTGAGAAATACAAAAAAATAATCAAACTAATGAGGTAAAATTAAGAAAAAACTAGAAAAGTGCCTTAGAGTAGAAGGAAAGTGAATCGCCTCCATGAAATCATTGATTTTTTTCTAGCTCTTCCCATTTGTGTTGTCGATCCGGAAGTAAACAAGATTAAAATGTTAAATTGATGTTTCTTCTCCTTCTTGTTTGAAAAATATCTAGCATTAATTTCATTTCAAATGATATAATTGAAATAAAGAGATGACATCCCAAGATCCCTAGAATTATTCTAGATATAAACGTTTCTAGAAGAAGAGAAAGCGAATCAAAGCTAACAATAGGGGATGAAATGCTGAAAAGATTATAAAGGCTCTTTCAAAAACTAGAGATGTTGAACATCCAAAGAAAGCATGAAAATCATCTTCCAGCTTTATCCTTACACTTATCACAGATAGCAAAGTTGATAATTACTTTGCAATGCGGACAGACTTTGCAATGAATTTTCCTCATATAAAGAAACCAAACAAGAATCATTATTTTGAGAGTAGTAATATACTTTCAAATGTGAGAGAAAATGGGTGTGAGAACACTCCATCATGAATTAGTAGGAGATGACAAAGAAAATATAATTAGGAGAAGGTAGCCAATAAGGGATATCCCTATCGTAATCTAGCTAAAACCTATTGATATGAGATAGGGAAGCTTTTGCTATCAATGGGGTGAAAAGGAATAATCTTTCTCCATAACCGATACCAACCACAGCTAGTTGAATAGGAGTGGAACATAATTATTATAATTTATAACAAAGTGAAGATATCATTGAATTGAGTAGCAAGGGATCAATCGTTAATACATTTGTCCTTAACAAAAGCTAATGCTTTTACCATCATGAAATTTCCAATAGATGTTTTGTAAAGTGACCAATAGCTTTAGAAACTCCTTTAATAAAGTTGGAGCATCCGAGACATTACTGGACCAAAAATCCAAGAAGTCAAGGTACTAAAATGCTTGTTATGGATGATAGTGCCAATAACGTAATCATTGTTTGGTTGCATAGATTTCCAAATGCATTTGTCTAGAAGGTACAAGTTCAACATATCAAGACCTCCTTTATCTTTAGGCCTACAAATGTTCTTCCACTTGATGAGATTTAGGCCACCACTATCTTTTTTTACTCTTCCAAAAAAGTTTCTTCTAATACCATCAATTATTTTTTTCACTCAATTAGGATTCCAAAGGAGAAGTAATAGTAGAGAGTAATAGAGGAGAGCATTGAATCTATAAGTACATTCATACTACCTTTAGAAAGGAAGTTACCTTTCCAAAAAGCGAGTTTTGACTGATCTTTACTATGAAAAGATGCCTAAAAACACGCTGAAGATTTTTAGAGCCCAAAGGAATGCTTTAAAGCACTTGAATTAGAGAGTTCAAAAGAACAACTCAAAATATCAGCAAGAGCCAGGAGGGGTATCCTTGCTAGACAACTTACTAAGGTAAATCCAAGAAGATTTGGAGAAGTTAATTCTGAGACCAAAGACTTCATCAAAGATATTTTA